ACAGCAGCTCAGCTCCAAGTTGAGCTGTTGTTCAGCATCTTAGCTGTAGAGGGCAGTGTCACTGGCCCTCATATGTGGGATCCGAACTGGGGCCCTCTGTCATCCCAAGCCAGTTCTTAACCAACACGCCACTCGGCCGGCCCCTGACCCCATTTTAAAAATGAGAAAACTAAGGCTCAGAGAGGTTAAATACTTGCCTAACATCACACAGCACCCCCAGAGTCATGGAAGTTGAATCCAGGCAGTCTAGCTTCTGGGGAAGGAAGGCTGACAGTGGCGAGGGCTAGGGTCTAAGGAGAGGCATCAAGGATGAGGTGGGAGCCAGAGGAAAATATCCCAGACAGTGGGGAAGAGCGGGTCTGGAAAATGGGAGATGAGAGAGTTTGGCCCCTTTGAGGAATCCCAGAGGGCTTGGGCTGGGCAGAACTGAAGTGTCAGTGAGGAGTGGTGGGAGACAGGCAGGGCCAGACCTCACAGAGCTTGTCGGCCATGGGGTGGAGTTTGGACTTGACTGGGAAAGCACTCGGGAGCCAAAGAAGGATTTTCACAGGATGCATGACCAGACTGGCGGAACGGAAGGGGAGGGAAGCCTGTTAGAGGAGAGATGGGGGAGGGAGGGGCCTCTCTCTGGACCATGACATCACTCTCTACAGGGCTGGTGCTAAGGGGAAACCCCACCTGCCCCAGCTTCCTGGGCCGAGGCCCATGCCGGTTGGCTCCCAGCATCCCGGCCTTTGCAGGATGTGCTGATCAGGCCATTTCCCATTGCAACCCCCCGTCGCCTTCCCAGAACCCCTCAGCCCTCTGGGCCCAGATCCCCAGCTTAAGAGCCGGAGGACAGCCACCAGCCAGCCAGAAGGGTCAACTCCGTGGCGTCTGACCTTCGTCTAGCAGAGATTAAACCAATTCCTAATTAATAGCTGTAGGATAGATAGATAGTTACTCAGGCACCACTTGCAAGCAATTTAAAGCTTGTCCTTGGGAGGCCAGTCCATAAATTATGCTTAATTAGTTGAGGGGCTCCCTGCGACACACCAGCTCAGGGACCTCCAAAATCAGGTTGGGGTAGGAAGGGGATGCTGAAGGAGCTACCCTGATACAAGCCTGTCTTTCCTTTCCCAAAACAACAGCTGTATTCTCACCTCCGCCAGCAGCTCCTGGAGTATTGCCAGGCTTGGGTCCCAGCTCAGCTGGTTCCTGGCCGTGCCCTTGACATTTCCAGGACGTGCCCTTGACATTTCCAGGACCTCAGTGCCTCATCTCTAAAGTGGGCCAGTAGCTCAGGTACACAGCCCTTTGAGAACTTGCCTAAGTGTATGAGTCAAACGAAGAAAAAAAAAAAGGATTTTAGAGTTTTTTGGAATGTGGAACCGAGGCTTAAGGGGTTATGGGGTCACTATGAATGCTAACTGTGGCGATGACTGTTCTATGATGACTTTTGTCCCTAACTCTAATATGCTTCTGTAAGGATTGCTGCTGCTTTTTGCACGTGTCGTGTGGGTGTGCAGATACCTTGTAGTTAGCTGGCTGTTGTCAGCTGCCTGTTGGGGATGTGTTATACATTCTGCATCACAAAGTGGCCCTGCTGCCCAAGGCAGGGGTGAAAGGCTCGTGACATGGCATTTGGTCCCCTGGGTATTGAGCACCGTCTGTGTCATTGCCCTGGCCAGCTTCCTGGGTGTGGGACCTGTGCAGTCACATAGGACCCCATGTTCAGAAGGGTCCTGCACTTGTTAATGTACTACTGTCACTGTCTTGAACTTCTCAATAATTTTGGAACTATGGGCCCCGAATCTTCATTTTGCATGGGACCACAGGAGTGATGTGACCGGTCCTTGTGACAGCCATACCGCATGGCTGGTCAACTTGTACCCTCCCGAGGCCCCCTAAGGGAAGCCCTGTTTCAAGGGTAGGCAAAATGATTTCATTCATTGGTTCACATACTCAGCAGGCACCCGATTACCAAGCCAGGTACTAGGGTGAGAGCCTCCATTCTAAAGAGTGTGTGTGTGTGTGTGTGTGTGTGTGTGTGTGTGTGTGTGTGTGTGTGTGCATGTGAGTGTTGGTGTGGAGGGGGAGGCGCGGGGAAGGGGCTCAACAATAAACAAGCAAAGAAATGACTATTAAAACTTCAGGCAGTGACAAAACGCTGTAAAGACAATAAAACAGGGTGGCGTGAGGGAGGGATTTAAATATTAACTTCAGTGAAAGAGAGGCTAGAATTGGCTCTGGTTTCAAGCTCTGCCTGCTGCATTCCTGGGGTGCTTTTAAAAGACCTGGGGTCATTTCTAGGTTCCCCCAACCCCCCACAAGGCCTTAAGTTGGTGAGGTCCAAGTAGGGGAGGCAGTGTGTGGGGTCCTTGAGCCCCGGGGACTTTTTACTCACATGTCTCCACAGCCCCGGCTTCTCACAGTGAACCCAGAAGGCCAAGTCTGGGAAGCAAGTGGGTGAGGAGAGGGCCTGCCTTGGTTTCTCCGCACACCTCTCCGTTCTCACTGTTCCAGGCGCTGCACCTAAGGCTTCTAACTACCCCGTGGACCCTGGAGAGGGTTTCTTGCACTTGTGACCTTCCCACACTAGCCTAGGGAGGACACTTTGGATTCTCTCCACTTCCCCAGGGGGGGATGGTGAAGCTCAGAGACGCCAAGTGACTCATCCAAAAGTCACACAGCAAATCAACTCCAGAGCTGAGTGCTGGCCTGCCCGGCCCCAGGCAGGCTGCTTTCCATTACTAAGGGCAGTTCAGACACGGGGCGCTGCCAAGGGTTTGCAGTCCAGGGCTGTCCCGACAGCTCCCTGGAATAAAGGGTGGCCCCTTGCTTGGTGGAGGAAGGGCGGGGGAGCAGCTGGTGGGGACACGTTGGCATCTGCTTACACCTGGAGAAAGGGTCTCCAGCACCAGCTCCGTTGAAGAGAAATGAGCTTCCCAGAAAGCGGAGTGCAAACACAGGCACGTCCCCAGTGTGGTGGGGCAGGAAGCCCAAAGCTGACCCGGGAAGCCCAGCCCTGGGGCTTGGAGGCCCCCTGGGGAGGCACAGGACCGGTCCCTCGTGGAGAGGCTGACCCCAGGTGGGAGGAAGCTGCCAGCGCCCAGGGATGCTCCAAAGGGGGGAGGTGGAGCTCCAGCTGGGTCGGTGCCCGCCAGGGGGGCGGTGGAGGAGGGCGTCGGGACGGTTCACGCTGCGGCCAGCAGACTGGCTGCTGTTGCAATGTCTGGTGGCGTTTGCAGCATCCTGTCCGTGTGTGCAGCTGGGGTAACCTCAGGCCGGCGTGGAGGAGCGTGTGTGGCTTGCAGGCTGCGCGGCCCGGAGGCTGCTGGCACCTTGCATGTCATTTACAGCTCTGGGTTCAGCCGCAGGTCAGCGGCGCCCGTGACATCACCGCGTTTGTTTACCGCTCGGCTGGAGGGAGGAAGCGCAGGCGGTCCCTGCTGCGGGCGGGGGACCCCCCCACCCCCNGTCCCAAACCAACGCGCCACTCGGCCAGCCCTAATCTTTCTATTTTAAAGCCAGCTGATGAGCAAATTTAATTCCTCCTGCAACCTTAATCCCCCTTTCCCATGTAAAGTAAGATATTCCTAGGTTCTGGGGATAGGATGTAGGTATCCTGGGGGAGGCCATTATTCTGCCAGCCACACTCCCTGAGCCCACTTTTCTCATTTATGACAGTGCTACTGTCAACCTCCCAGGGCCACTGGGAGGAATCCAGGAGATTGCTGACCATGCCAGCCAGGGGCTCAGAAAATGATGGTTGGATCTGCCCTGAGCACCAGCTGAATACACGGCTCTGTTGCAGGTGCCACCCAGAGTCACTAAGGATGGAAGATGTCACAGCCCCTGCTGCAGAGCAGCTGGCAATGTGACTAAGGCAGTAGAACGTCACGAGGGAAGGTTTGTCCTTGGAGAGCAAAACAAACAGGAGACTTTGACCCCACACTGGGTGGGGAGCTGCTCCACAAATGAGAAAACTCTGGGCCATCTGGAAACTCTGGGCTTCCTATGGGGGTAGATCTCCCAGGAGCAAGGTACTAGGGGCCCTCCTAGGTCACAGGGACCAGGAAAAAATACACAGCGTTCCCGGTTCCATCCTCAATCTAGCTAGGAAGATGGACCAGCAGCCCTCGGCGACACTATGGTGTGATGAGGGCTTTGATGGAGCAAACCATGGCAGGAGGCAGCAGGCGTGGCTTCCAACCAATCTTTGAATCTTAAAGTTCTTCCTACCTACAAAGCGACTTACAGAGACAATCTGATTTGTTGCTCAAAGCAACGTGATAAGGTAGCAGCTATTACTGACCCCATTTTATTTATTTTTTTTAAGATTTTATTGGGGAATTGGGGGGATGGGAACAGAGCTGGGGAATTGGGGAAGGGGAACAGACAAGTTGCTGTCCTTTTATTCTTCAATCTAGTTGTGGAGGACGTCGCTTCACTGGCCCAAGTTGGCACCATCATTGCGCTCTTTCGGGGCGAGGCAGATCAGTCGCCGGCTTCTGGACGGCTGCTCACGGCGGCTGCTGGCCGCTCACGCTGGCTGCTGGCTACACACGGTAGCCCATGGCAACCCACTGCAGCAGGGGCTGCAGCCTACGCCGT